TTTCACCTGTATACAGGAAGCAGAGAGTGAGAGAAGGAAGTAGGGCAAGGTTATAACCCTTAAAACCCATGAGCAGTGACCCTCTTCTTCCAGGAAGATGTCACCTCCTCAAGTTCTATAAACTCCCGAAACAGCAGCACCAACTAGAGAACAAGTGTTCAAACATACGAGCCCACAGGGGACATTCGCCCATCCAAACCACCACACACTTAGACAAACAAGTGTAAACAGAGTCTGCTCATTCGTTTTCTGACTAACCAGACTGGATAATCACACAGAAACTATATTAATTACAACACTGTTTGGCAAATAGCTTAGGTGCATTCCTAGCTAGCTCTTACATCTTAAATTAACCCATTGATCTCTGTATCACCACGAGGCTGTGGCCAACTGGTAAGATTACAGCATCTTTCTTCTTCAGGAGCTACATGGCATCTGCCTAACTCTGCATTCTTTCTTCCTGCATTCAGTTTAGTTTTCCCGCCTAGCTCTATTCTCCCCGGACATAGGCCAAAGCAGTTTCTTTATAAACCAATGATAATAAAACATATTCATAGCATACAAAGGGGAATCCGACATAAGTCAAGTAATTCTTGTTAGGTTTCTCCTCAAATCTTTTACCCATTTTTTTTTACATTGACTTGCTTTCTTTCGTTACTGACCTATAGGCATTTCGTGTGTTTTCACGGCCGTCTATCATGAGACATGTGTTTTTCTGTACTTGTTGTCAGTTTGCATTTGCATTTTCTCAGTGTTTTTTAAAAATAAGATTTCATCTGAAAATAACAAAAGCTTGACTTCTTCCTTTTCAATTTGAATCCCCTTGATCTCCTTTTGTTGTCTTATTACTATAGCCAAAACTTCAAGAACTATGTTGAAGAGATATGGAGAGGGTGGACAGCCTTGTCTTGTTTCTGATTTTAGTGGAATCGCTTTTTTTCTCTCCATTTAATTTGATGTTGGCTGTCGGTTTGCTATATATTGCTTTTATTGTATTTAGATGTGTTCCTTGTGTCTCTGATCTCTCCAAGACCTTTATCATGAAGGGGTGTTGGATTTTGGAAAATGCTTTTTCAGCACCTAATGAAGTGATCATATGGTTTATTTTCTTTCAGTTTATTTATATGATGAATTACATTGATAGATTTTGGTATGCTGAACCAGCCCTGCGTCTCTAGAATGAAGCAGATTTGATCAAGGTGGATGTTTTTTTGATTTGTTCTTGGATTCGGGTTGCCAGTATTTTATTGAGTATTTTTCCATCCATGTTCATGAGTGAGATTGGTCTGTAATTCTCTTTCTTAGTTGAGTATTTGTGTGGTTTGATATCAGGGTAAATGTAGCCTTATAAAAAGAGTTTGTCAGTGTTCCTTCTGTTTCTATTATTTGGAACACTTTGATGAGTATAGGTATTAGTTCTTCTTGTAAGTTCTAATAGACTATCCATTACACGTGGGAATGCAAACTTGTACAACCACTTTGGAAGTCAGTATGACAGTTTCTTAGAATATTGGGAATGATGCTACCTCAGGATCGAGCAATACCACTCTTGGCACATACCAAAAGATGCTCAATCATACTACATAGACATTTGTTCAACTGTGTTCATAATAGCATTATTTGTAATAGCCAGAACCTGGAAACAACCTAGATGCCCATCAATCAAAGAATGAATAAAGAAAATGTGACACATTTATACATTAAAGTACTATTCAGTGGTTAGAAAAAAAATGACATCTTGAATTTTGCATGCAAATATATGGAATTAGAAAACACTATCTAGACCAAAAGATGAATATGGTATGTACTCACCAATAAGAAGATACTAGCTGTAAGCAAAGGATATTGAGTCTATAGTTCATGATCCTACAGAAGATAAGTAACAAGGTGAACCCTAAGAAAAACATATGTAGATCCACCTAGAAAGTGGAAAGAGACAAGATCGCCTGACAAAATTGGGAGCATGGAGGTGGGGGGGAGAAGAAAGGGTGGAAGGAGAAGAGGAAAGGAGAAAGGGAGGGGCAAGAAGAACTTGAGGGAATGGGATGGTTGAGATGAAGGAAGGACAGAGATGATAGCAAGGAAAAAGATATCTTGATTGAGGGAGTCATTATAGGATTAGTAAAAAACCTGGCTCTAGAGAAAGTCCCAGGAATTCACAGGGATGACCCCAGCCAAGACCCTAAGCAATAGAGGAGAGAAGACCTGATCTTGACTTGCCTGTATTCAGACTGATGAATATCTTAAATATCACCATAGAATCTTCATCCAGCAACTGATGGAAACAGAGGCAGAAACCCATATAATAGTATTGGACTGAGCTACCAAAGTCCAGTGGGAGGAATGAGAGTATGAACAAAGATGTCAAGACTGTGATAAGTACATCCACTGAAACAGGCTACCTGAGCTAATGGTAGCTTACTAACTCCAGCCGGACTGGGAAGAAACAAACATAGGATCAAACCAGTCCCTCTAAATGTGGTTGACAGTTGCACAGCTGGGGCAGACTGAGGAACCAATGGCAGTGGCACCAGGATTTATCCCTACTGCATGTACTGGCTTTTTGGGAACCTATTGTCTTTGGATGGATACCTTTCTCAGCCTACTTATAATAGGAAGGGCCTTGAACCTTCCCCAAAGCAAAGTGCCTTACCCTCTCTGAGGACTGGATAGGGGTGGGGTGGAAGGGTATGTGGAGGGAATGGGAGAAGGAGAGGGAGTGGGAACTTGTATTGATATGTATAATAAAAAGAGATAGTTTGTTTTCTTTTTGTAAAAAGATTAAAAATTAAGATTTTTTTTGTAATTTTATTAAATTATAAAAGTTTCCATTTCTGCCCCTCCTCCCACCACCCTCCCACTCCTCCCACTTCCTCTCCATCCCTAAGAGCAGTCAGGGTTTCCTCCCCAGTGGGAAGTTCAAGTTCCTCCCCCCTCCCTCCAGGTCCAGGAAGGTGAGTGTCCAGACGGACTGGATCCACAAAATCCAGTATATGCAGAGGAAATAAGTCCCAGTGCCATTGTCAATGGCTTTTCAGAAAGACTCCGGCCAGCCACATTCAGAGAATCTGGTTGGATTGCGTCCTCGTTCAGTCCCAGTCCAACTAGCCTTGGTAAACTCTCATTAGATTCGTCCCCTTGTATCAGTGGGTGATCACATCCCTCGCAGTCCTTATTTCCTTTTTCATATGCTTGAAATAAACTGATCAACATGAATCTTTGGGGAAACTTCTGAAATTCAAGTTAGGGAAGATTCAGTTCATGTTATGGAAAATGAGGAGGAAAGAAGAAAAGAAAAACAAACAAAAACAAAAGCTACCATGGGCATTCATTGACTTATTTTTACATATAAATTTTAAAAATTTTGTGGTCAATTTCTAGGTAATATGTGAAAAAAGTGGTGTGAGTTTTGAATTTTGGGTATTGAAAAAATGGTTTATGAACTACTTAGCTGAGGACAGTGTATTTTTCTTACACACAGAAAATAATTCAAGAGGACAAATTCACAGAAATTACTGAAACAGCAGGATAAAATTCAGACTATTCTTCCTCTTTTATTTAGCAAAACTATATATTAAATGAATAGATATAAGATATTACAATGATTCCTTGAATTTAAGTAATATCTTTCTTGTAAGAATTCAAAATAATTTCCTTTATGTTTTTATTCAGTCTAGAAAAAGCATTCTGTGCTAATGGAAAATACATTAAAAACAAATGCATGTTCCTGTCCTCGTTTGTGGATGAGAGAATTGAAATGCAATTGGAATCTTTTAAAAAACAGACCAAGAGTTTCTTAAGTCAGGACCACACCACTTTCCACGAGTTTTATGGTACAGGTGTGTCATTCAGAAGTCCTCTAGTGTAGTCAGACTTTTTTTGGGGGGCTCCCAGATCACAAGTAATGACACAGACACTTATTACTAATTAAAAAATCCAGGCCTTAATTTGGACTTTTTATCAACTAGCTTCTCTAACTTAACCTATTTTTATTAACCTACATTCTGCCACATGGTTCGGTTACATCTCCTCTACCTGATGTCTGATTTCTTCATTATTTCTCTGACATGTCTCATGTAGATAGATACATCCCCAGTTTTTCTTTCTGCCCAGAAATCCTGCCGATTCTCTCCTATCTAGCTATTGGTCATTAAACTCTTTATTAAACCACTCACAGTGACACATTATTACACAGTGTAGACACATAATCCACAACACTCTAGTCTCCCATCTTATTTTAGTGAGTGACTTTGATCTCTGGCAGAGCAAGTAGGTGCATGGTATTCCCAAAATCAGATTATATCTTACCTGTGTTACTTCTGTTCATCAGGGATGCTCTAAATTTAGGGAAGCTGCTTAAACTCTTTCATCAAGTATCATTCATTTAAAAATCATTCTCTCAGTAGACTGAACTTCCGTTGTTTGAACAGACAGAACGATTATATGTAGTTGTCAGATTCAGTTTAGCCATAGTCTATATATATATATACATACATATATATATATATATACATACACACACACATATATATATATGACCTTTAACACAAAGTTCATGACCAGAATCAGGTGAGGGAGCATATGCCATGAGTCCAGGACTCAGAAGGAGGAGGCAGAAGGATAAGTTCAAGGTCACCCTTGGCTATATAGTAAATTCAAAGTTATCCTGTACTACATAAGACTCTGTTGAAAGAAAGACTCAGATGAATAGAAAGAAAAAGTAAGAAGGAGAGGAGAGAGAGGAAGAAAGGAGAAAAGAAAAGGAGGGAAGAAAGGAGGAAGGGAGAAAAGAAGAAAAGAACAAAGGAAAGAAGGAGGAAGGAAGAAAGGAAAAATGGAAAGTGGGAAAGAGGAAATGCTGAAGGAAGAGAAGGGAAGTATGTGAAAATGAAGAAAGAAAGGAAGAGATAAAGGAGGGAGAGAGAGAGGGAAGGAAGAAGGAAAGAATAGAGAGACAGAAGAGGAAAAGGAGAAAGTGGGAAAAGATGGGGTGACAGGGAGGAAGTTAAAAATTAAGTAATTGTTTTTCAGTTTTTGAGTAGAGGGACCCTGTATTCATTATCTTTGTTTATATCTTCCTGGAGCCAATGATATAGTAGACAGCAGGGATAAATTTCTGCGCAATGACGATAACAACACTGATTTTGACACATTATTTTACCAATATTTAAGAAAATAAATAACATAAAATAACATGCTTCTGTTAATACAAATTTAAGGAAGAACAGAATGCTGAAGTAGCCTGAGATAAACACTGATGGCGAGCACCACACGGTCACAGCTGTTGCTGGAGAGTCAATCACTCACCTTACAACGCTCAAAGACATAGAACTCTTTCTACATGATAGTCTACAGAAAAGTGTCCTTACAAATTTACCTCAGCCACGGGCTGTTTATTTCTCTTTCCTTCTTTTCTCTTGCCATTCTTCACATGCATCACTAAGTGGTCTCTGGTTTGGGCTCAGGGCTCTGTAAATAGAGCTTCGCAGTGATAGCTAAAGGGAAAGAATGTGAGAGAATGGCTGATTTTCCATCCCTATTCTGTTCTCTTTCTTTTACAACTTCTCCAACTCTTCCCTGCACTGTCAGATGGAAGACAGAATTTCCAGATGGGTGTGACTCTTCTGTTTTATTTTATCATGTGTTCTCAGAATATAGTACATGCTCAATAAATCATAAGTAATTTATCAGCCTCAAAAGACTGTAGCAGAGATTTCTAAAATATCAGAAGTTAGAACGTAGAACCAAGAGAGAGACTGACATCATTGGGAGTCATCGTTCACCCAAAGAACCAGCAATGGGATTGTTACACCCAGCAGACATTCTCTCGACACAAATACAGCCCGTCAGCCAAGTCTACATTGTCTACAGTTGCCAGGTCCTCTGCTCTCTCTCCTTTTCCATCCTTTTGCTCACTGGAATACAGAGAACAGAAATTGTCTGACAGTTAACAAAACTGTGTAAGAGGCCTTGAGATCATACAATGAGGTGGGATTTCCTCATCTATTATTAATTAAGATTTGGGTTTTAAAACTATGTTTTAGAAGATAACAGATACCCACCCAATGTCATGGTGACTTCAACCCATGCATTTTTAAACTTGTGTTCCTCAGCTTTGATATAGAAGGTAGAGCTTTCATACTGGGGGCTAACTGGTTCTCTCCCCATTCGTTTTCACTATTATAAAAATAAAATAGCATAGAACTCTTTCACCCATTTTGGTGAATGTTATTTAATAGCCAATAAACAAATTGTGTATACTTTGAGGCCATTTAGGGATATAGAAGCCACTTTGTGTTCTACATGGCATTGCAAGTGCATGATCCAAGACAGGGCTTCCTTCTGAGGTGCACACTTGATTGCACCCTTTTTTCCACCTTAAGCCTAAGGCAGCTCCAACTAAATGCCAGGCTCACTAAGTTACAAATTTAGCATCTCTCAGAGGTGCTTGCTCGCATGGTGCATTAGGCCGCGTCACTGGTTGATTAGCAATGCTCTCTCGGAGAAGTGTATTGACTCTTGTGGGCACTTATCATTTATCATACTTATGTTCATTTTATTCTTATCCCAATAATGACAGCTTTCATGTAAAATGAAAGGGGAAAATAAGATTAATACATCCTTAGCACACCTTTAACACCACACACAAATGCTCTGGCTGCTGAATCAAGTACATGTCTTCTCTGAATTTGGACTCTATTACTAATATTACTACTTCTTTCATTAAAAAATTATCTGAAGAAAATCACATGTCACTTTTTCAGAAATGATCAAGAAATAAAAATGGCAACGGGGGAGGACATGGGGAGAGAGGCTGGATAAGCATTTGTGTGTTCGGTGAAGTGATGCAATAGGAACTCACCCAGCCCTCTGGCCTAGCCTGTGCTGAACTCAAGCCTAGCCATTAGAGAGAAAATTGGAGTGATGTCTTCAGATCAGGGACAACACTTATTTTGAAAATGTTTCCATGTTGATAACCAAGAGACTTTCTTGGAAAGTTTGCATGAAATCAAGCAAGAACAACCTTCTTCTAAACACAAGTATAGAAAATTAACAAGACAGACAGGCTTCATGACACATACCTCAAATACCAGAAGTCAGGAGACTGAGGCAGGAAGATAGTGAGCTTGAGGCCAGCCTGGGTCAAATAGCAAGTTACAGACCAGTCTCTGCTATATATCTAAATTGCGTCTTAAAAATAGACTAAAATAAAGAAAAAAGAAAGATGATATGTCATTATGCAATACCCTTCCCCAGGAAAAAGAAGTTTAGAAAGCCACCTTGATGTTTCTATTTAAAACTACAAAGACCTTTTCGTACGTCTGGTCACTATAGTAACATGTTGTCTTCTACATGGTAGTATAGAAGCAGACACGGCACTGGAGAAGGAGGTATAGAAGCAGACACGGTACTGGAGAAGGAGGTGAGAGCCCTGCATCTTAGTTTACAGGTAACGAGAAGTAAACTCAGACACCTGGCATAGTTTGAACATTGGAAACCTCAAAGACAACCCCCACAGTGACATACTTCTAGCAACAAGGCCACACCCCCAAATAGTGCCACTCCCTATGAGCTTATGAGGGCCAATTACATACAAATTACCACAGAAAACTCTTTGTTTTTTAATGTCCTTTTCACTGCAATGAGAAGTCCTTGTAACATGAGGGCCTGCTTTTTGGTGTTTCTATCCTGCCCGGTACCCCACAGTCAGCAAGCCCTAAAGAAAAGCACACAGAGATCTCCATAAGATTATAAACTGATTGGCCCATTAGCTCAGTCTTTTTATTAGCTCTTTTAGCTTATATTAACTCATTATTGTGATCTATGTTAGCCATATGGCTCAGTACCTTTCTCAGTGGGGCAGGTCACATTTTACTTCTTCGGTGATTTGAGATTTCCATGTTCAAACTCTGCCAGGTGTCTCAGTTTACTTCTCGTTACCTGGCTGAAGCTGCAGGTGGACAAAATGAATAGGACACTTATCTAGTGCACGTTCACACAGACAGATGCCCCCGTACACACCTGGATATGTGTATCACATACAGGTGCTCCCATGCACACACAGGACTGGGAACCACCCTTCTCTCCCAGTGCCATAGCCCAAGATATCTGGGTGCTGTGCCAACATCTGTTTCTTCTGCTTGTCCTTCTCTTGGTTGCTGACCTCCATCTCACTGAGCAAATATAAGTTAATGTCTTCTGTGATTACATAAATTATATGCATCTTTCTAGATTACTCCTCTGGTCTCAAGTAATTAGAGGTACATAAAATTTGTATACTATTTTAGACAATTTCTTACCTGGCTCACAAAAGGTACTTGTAAAAGAACATTTTTCTTTCTTATCTTTTTTACAACCATAAAATAGATGAGAAGGTCAAAATAAATCTTTGTTAATTATAGCACTGCCATTTCACAGGTACCCAGTTGCTGGAATAAAAACTTTTCTATGTTAAGGACTCAAGAAGCTTAAATGATTTGGGTATTCATCTGAAGGTTTGGTGGCTTCTGGATGTGCAAAATTGTTTTCTAATTCTCTGACAATACTAGACCGCCTTAAAAAGGGATGGAAATGCTGAATTCTTTTTCTTTTTTTTTGAAAACTTTATTGATTTTAAAAAGAAGTGACACTCAGAAATAAAATGAGAACATTTTTAACTCAACTACGTACCCAGGTGTAACTGCCATATTCTTTCTAAAGCAAAGGTTAAATAATAAAACATTAATTTGTTCATGTAGCAACATCATATTATACTCTGCAAATACAATTATATATTTTATAGATCAGTTTAAAAGAAAAAATGACTGTGGTTTACATATTTGTGAGATTAAAGAAAATTGCATTGAAAGAACAGGTTATTTGTTTTATTTTTCTTTCTTTCTTTTCCTAAGGAGGCACAACCAAATAACAAAACTGTGGTGATGTGAAAGAAAATGGCTGCCACAGGGAGTGGCACTATTGGGGGGGGCCTTATTGGAGTAGGTGTGGCCTTGTTGGAGGAAGTGTGTCACTCTGGGGGTGGACTTTGAGGTCTTTTTCTCAAGCTTCACACAGTGTGGCAGTAAGTCAACTTCTTGCTGCCTTTTGGTCAAGATGTTGCCAGCACCACATCTGCCTACACTCTGTTGTGCTCCCCATTGTGGTGATAATGGGGTGAACCTCTGAAACTATAAGCTGCCACTTTAATTGAATATTTGTTTGTAAAAGTTGACATGGTCATGGTGTCTCTTCACAGCAATAAAAATCCTAACTAAGACATTGTTCAAACACCAGAGAATTATGAAAACTGATTTAAAAAATTGCTAGGTTCTCCTACAGAGTGATGAGTGTGTGTGTGTGTGTGTGTGTGTGTGTGTGTGTGTGTGTATGTATGTGTGTGTGTGTGTGTGTGTGTATGTGTGTGTGTGTGTGTGTGTGTGTGTGTGTGTGTGATAAGTTGTATTTTGGTTGGTGGTGGGGAAAAATTCCTCTATCTTGTCTCTATCTTGTCTGGAGCCATCTTTGGTTTAATCTGAAATTGACCTCCCACATCTACCCCTGAAGTGTAAGGTCCAACAGAAAATTATCCAACTCTGTTCCTGAAACTTAAGGATGAAATGCCCCAGGTAACTTCTTAAATACTTAAACAGAGGCTCTTAATTATCAATTTTAATTTGGAAGAATAGTTAACTATTAATTAAGTCCTTTCTTCCCTCTAAATTCATGGTAGATTTGTTTCGAGATATTCATTTTGGGGTAATTTCTTTTGAAAATGACCTTTGAAAAAAAATTTTTTAGAAGTACTCCGCAAAGGAATTCAAAGGAACAAATTTCTGTGTAATGAAACAATTCTTTACAATGGAGCAGCATATGAAGTATGTACACATTGCTAATTATCGCCATGCCAGTGTAAATACAGAGAATCTGCCCACTTAAAATCATTATGCTTTCAATAAACACAAATAACAAAAAAAGTCTTAACCAAATTTTAAACAAAAGGTGCGTGAAATCCCGATTTACTCAGAAAAAGTTTTATAAATTTATCATAGAGAACACTATTTTAGCCTCCTAAGACATGTTGTTCAAAACATATTTTATTGTCATAACATCTACACTTATTATTGTTCATAACAAGCAAATTCAACTTTATCATGATGTGGTTTTTCTTTTCTGTAAATACATTACCACTGATTAGGAACTAATACCATTTTTCTGATCTAAAATGCAGGAGAAAATTTAGCAAATCTTTCTGAAATTCCCTATGAAGAACAACCCAAATAACCAGGAATGACTTGTTGGACTGTACTCAACAATTGCCTCAAAACATTTACTTTTGTACCATAACAATGTGACAATAACCAGTTCTGAAAAGATGTCATTTAGATTATATAATCAGAGGAACACTTACTGCAATAATAACTGTAGGATGAGATTATGTGTAATATTCTTAAACTTCTGTAGGCTAAAGAAAAACCAATTCAAGGACCTCAGTTGGGCTCTTAGTTTCAGTTTCCTTTTTAGTCTCTGTAGAAATACAATATTTGTGTAAACAAAAGTATGAAATGCTTTTCACAATTTGTTTGCAAGGTTTTGTTTTTCCTCTGTGAAGACATAAATGCGCTTACTAACACAAATCTTTTAATATATCAAGGTATTGAAGTTTCACGTTGGGTTCTTTCTTAACCTGAAAGAAATTATTGCTTGATTTACTTAATGTAGTTACAGATTCTGCAGCCAGCAAAAGAGGATTTGCTCTGACAATCCCCACCATGCTGACTGCCTCAGTGCATATGTGCCTGTCTCAAGTGAAGCCCACCATATTTTCCTCAAGAGTTGGCATCCTTGGCAGAGCAGCCCTCTAATCTTATAGAGTCTCAGATACCTCTCCACCCACAAGTGGCCCGGCTGCTGCCCAGAGTCTCACTGTTTTCCCAGAGGCTGTGGAATTCCGGAAAAAAACATCCACAGCAAGGCATGTTACACATGTTAGGTAAGGTTTAGTACTAGATGAACTGCCTTAACAGATTTACCCTTAAAATATAATGGCTCACATGAAATACTTCTCTAAACAAGTGAACCTATCTCTTATTCAATAATGCAGTCAGATGGGAAGTGAAGGACACAGAGAACGGCTCCCTCTAGATCCCTTCTTCCTTAAAATGCTATGATCTTCTAGGGCAGTGATCCTCAATCTGTGGGTCATGACCCCCCCCATAGGGGTCACATATCAAATATCCAGCATATCAAATATTTACATTATGATTTAACAGTATCAAAATTATAGTTATGAAATAGCAATGAAATAATTTTATGGTTGGGGTCACTGCAACATGGAAAACTCTATTATAGGGCTTCAGTATTGGAAAGGTTGAGAACCGCTGGTCTAGGTGTTCCTCGCTTTCCATAAGAGACGCTGGCTTCCCAACTCCCCTGAGAAGGTGAAGGAAGTAGCCAGGCAATGTTATCATTAAAGAAATGATATAGATATTGAAAATGTTATCCATCTACTACTGAGGCTGAGAAAAGCATCCTTAGCTGGATAACAGTGGGCCACACTGAAACTGGAAGGTGTAGGTGGAAATATATTCCTACAAGAAAAAAGGTAAATAGATAAGGGGAAGTTGCTAAACAATATTATAAGGAGGGAGGCTGCTTGTTCGTTTCCTGGCCTCCCAGACTCCTGAAATAATCACACAGAAACTGTATTAATGAAATAACTGCTTGGCCTACTAGCTCTAGCTTCTTATTGGCTAACTCTTACATATTAATTTAACCCATTTCTATTAATCTGTGGCTTAATCTATTAATGAAGCCACGTGGCTGTGGCTTACCAGCTAAAGTTTTGGTATCTGTCTCCAGCAGGGCTACATAGCATCTCCCTGACTCTGCCCTTCTTTCTTCCAGCATTCAGTTTAGTTTTCCCTGCCTACCTCTATTCTTTTGCCCTATCAGGCCAAGCCAGTTTTTTTTTATTAATTAACTAATTGTATTCACAGCATACAAAGGCAAATCCCACATCAAAACACAACTTAGTTATCTATAAATGCTTCATTAAATCATGTGCCTGACCAATTTTCTGAAAGAAATGTTGTTGAATTTTTACTGTGTAGCAATGTATTGGACCCCATAAGAGAATTCGCATATGTACTTCAACGTTTTATCATAAGGGTGGATGGACTTCCTGTCTGTAGGGTAAAATGTTGTGTGCACTGAAGATTGTCATAATTATATTAATCATGACCATAATGACATAATATATTATAGGTCTTAAGTCAGCTCTGGGAAAGATATGAGCCATTAGCATTCAGGACCTTTCCTGACTCATATATAGGTAGAAAAGTTGATGTGGGATTCCCCTCTGTGTGCTGTGAATAAGTTTTATTGCCATTGGTTAATAAAGATACTGCTTTGGCTATGGCAGGACAGAATATAGTAAGGCGGGGAATCCAAGGAGAGATAGACGAGGAAAGAAGGCAGATCCAGAAAGATACCATGTAGACACCCAAGAAGCAAGAAGTAACAAACCATGAACCTTGTGGTAAAATATAAAATAATGGAAATGGGTTAGTTTAAGATGTAAGAGTTAGTTAGGAATACGCCTACACCATTGGTCAAACAGTGTTGAACTTAATATAGTTTTGGTGTGATTATTCAGGTATGGGTGGCTGGAAAACAAAAGAACAGTCTCCACTTACAAGAAGTAGCTCCCACTATTTGTCTTTGCCTTATTCTACTCTTTTGACCCCAAGCCCAAAGGACTTGACATAAATGCATTCATTCCTACCCTTAAGGCATTGAACAAAGACATAATTTGACCTTTAGATATTGAAATGGGTATGCTTATTTGCATTCATTGTAACATAAATGCGTTTGTGCTCACCTTTTGGTTAAACCTCAGTTTAATCAATCAACTGTGTTCTCTAATGGTGGAGACAGATGGAAACAGAATGAGCCTCGGAATCTTCCTCAAGGGCAATGTGGAGAATGCTGCAAACTTACTCAAAACTGCTCAGTTTTGCAACAGAGTTGGTCATTGTAGACATACTCTTACATTTTCACTAATTTTGAATTAATACTCTAAAAGCCAGCAGCTGACAATGACTTTGAACAGTTGGTATCACACCTGAGGCCCCTTTTAAAAAACCATTCTCATCAAAGTCAAACACTGTGAGGATCTATCAGAGGAGGAAATGAGTGCATTTTCTCTAAGATTACTTAAGTAGGAGTTTCTCTCCAACTAATTAAGATTCTATTCTATTTCAGAAGCTAATGTTAGAAGCAGACATTCTGTTTGGGAATTATTAATAAATGAATGCAGAAGGTTGCTGAACACTTGAAATGGTACATTTTGCCTGGTCGAAGCTCAATAAAAATGCTTGAAGAAAACAAATTAAGTACAAAACAGCATTTTAAACTCAAGGACAATTGTCCAAGGTGAATGAATAAGGTTTACACCATTATATATTGGCAACATATAAGAACTTCTTATAGAAGTAGCACTTTCTAATGTTAAAAACAACCTGATTTCTCAGTATTAAGCTTGTATGTTCAGATTTCTAGAAGTGTGGGGAAAGAAAACAGTCTGGCTTCATTTTATTCTGAATATATCTGGTACAATGTGAGTTACACTATAGTTTGAAAGGAAATACAATTAAATACATATTTTTTTCTTTTGTGTGTGAAGGTATGAGTGCTGTGTGTGCTTGTCTCTCTCCCTCTCTCTCTCTCTCTCTCTCTCTCTCTCTCTCTCTCTCTGTGTGTGTGTGTGTAAGAATGTAAGTGTTTGGGTACTTGTAAGCATACTGCATGCACCAAAGATGCTCCCACTTAGGCCAGAGGAATACATCAGCGTCTTCCTTGACCACTTTTATCTTATCCCATTGAGACAGAGTCTTTCACTGAACCTAAAGGTCACCAATTTGACTAAACTAATTTGCCAGAAAGTTCTAAGGTCTTCTTGGTAATACCTACCCCCAACTCTGGAGTTATCAGTACATGATAACTATTAGTTATCAGTACATGATAACATGATAGTTATCAGTACATGATGAGCCTAAGATTAGATAGATGATAGATAGATAGATAGATAGATAGATAGATAGATAGATAGATAGATAGATGATAGATGGATGGATGGATAGATAGATAGATGATAGATGGATGGATAGATAGACAGACAGACAGACAGATAGATAGATATGTGGATATAGTGTGAATATATATTTAAACAGAGATATACTGGCATGTGTGTGTGTGTCTGTGTGTGTGTATGTCTGTGTGTGTGTGTGTGTGTGTGTGTCTGTGTGTGTGTGTGATACAAGGAGCCCAGCTTGCACAGCAAGCAACTTATCCACTGGGTCATCTCCCATTCTTCAAATATACACATTAAACTCACATATTAGATGTGATGGTTCAAGCAACTGGATTTGTAAAGATCATCTGGCTTAAAACCAAAAATACTAACATCAAGTAGAAGAGACTATTTTTGCCTGGTTGCGTTAATGAGCACTAAAAATTGTCTCATTGTACTCTGCATGCTTGTGCAGTTTAGTTGGTAGGATGCTTGGGTAGCATACGTGAGGTCCTGTGTTCAAATCCCTTTACTCATAAATTAAGAATGTTAATACATTTCCAAACCTAACACTTGACAGGTAGAAGAAAGGGATCAGGAACCAATGCCATCCTCAGTTACATAAATAGTTTAAACCTAGCCTGCACTACATGAAACTCTTTCTAAAAGAGAGAGAGAGAGAGAGAGAGAGAGAGAGAAAGAGAGAGAGAGAGAGAGAGAGAGAGAGAGAGAGAGAGGGAGGGAAGGAAGGAAGGAGGGGGAGATATTTAAAAACAAAGCTTGACTATGTGCTATATTTTTTGATGAGTTCTTAACTAATAAAGGACTGCAGAGACTGTGACCATGAGCTCTCTGAGGAAATCATCACTTGGAGCTATGTCGATCAGGCAATACAAATTGGTCAGCCAGGTTTTTTATTCCCACCCTCTTTCTGCTATATTGCATTGTGCCTAGTGAGGCACCGGTAGAAGGTTGTTCGGGTATCCCAGATCCTATGTGATGTCAGGGAACAGCTTAGATGATATCATTTATCTGTGTAATTCTTGAGCTTCACATTTTCATAGAGGTTAGGATCCTCATCTGATAAGGAAGTAGGGATGAAGTTGATGATCAATTAATTTTAGAAGGCAAAAGATTCAATGCTTCGTTCTCTCTTCAGTTTGTTAGATCTTATCCACAGCACCCTATTTGCATGGAGTCATAGAGTTGTTAAGGTTTTATGATTTGATAACAATAGGTAAGGCAGTATTGCATACAGAGTGAGGGATCTTCTGGGTGTAAATTGCACCCCCAGTTGCTTGGAGTAGTGGAGATTCCGTTGTAAGTCTCAGCTTTCTCTTCTGGCTCAGCACAGTAGACTCCACAGCTCTCCTAACAAGCCACCACTTGCCACCGAACATGGAGCCTTCAAGATGTACTTAACCTTGATGGAGGGAAACCTTGTATCTAATAAACAGGAATAAAAATTCCAAATTACCGCAAAGCACTGCAGCAGGCAAGCTAGAATTCCAGTCATATAAAACCTCTGTTTACAATAAGGTGATGCTATGAATCACAATGACGCTCTGAGCACTCAACTACCTACCTAGTCACATTCCGTCTATTTATATTATATAATCTCATTTTCATACAAGCTTATTACACATATTAAAGCCATACTTTTCCTTGTACTGGCAAGATCCATTGATAAAACAATGACGTGAACTAACACCCTTCCTAAATAAAGTTGCGCCAGTACCACCGCATGTTAATGGACCTATTTCATTGTTAATGTGACTGACTGCTTATTGATTCTTGCAGGAACCCAGCAAGGGCTTCAGAGTACAATTTAGTTTGGAGAGCTCTGTGCCCAACATCCATGCTCAATTACAACTTTCAGAAGGGGCGATCAATAAAATTTAAATTGCTTATGGTAATCACAACTTCAAATCATTGGGATCAGCATAAGCAATCTGCTGACCCCAGCCAAGCTCCTAAATTGAAACCTGTAATGAGTGGTCATTTAGTTTGGGTCCATTCATATTATTTTGCAGGCAGGTGATGAACAATTAAAGATCAGCCTGCACCTTCCCCACACAACATTCCCATCTGTATTCCCAAAGTATTAATATGCAGTAACCCTCAGGTTCACGCTTTTCCACTTCTTTAATGGGTATTCTGTATGAATAAGCAATTATATTTTCTATTAAACAATTTCAGTGTAATTGAATTAGCAGTTATAATATTGCTAGGGCAAGCAAAAGCTTTCCTAGGGAAAAATTAAGTGATATTGGGTAGTGCAAATTAATTTATAGAACTGAAAAATGTAACCAATTAAATAGAATTGCCTCAGCCTCCCCCTCCTCCAAAATACAATTAAGCAGCACATTGTTTCAAAGAGTATGTTTCAGAGCAATTTGTTTTCAATCATAATCGCTGTTTTTCATTCATTATGAAAAGCTGTCTATTATAATGAAAATTTCATAGGCAGTTTTCCTTGACAAAGCAGGTTGCAAGTTTAAACAAAGATAGCCTGCAGATTACTTCCTTGATACAGAGTCACCTTAGAATTACATTTTAATAAATCATTGAAAATAAATCTTCTG